GTTTAACTACTAACACTAACCATCAACCAGTGCACGAAACTGTGAGTGGTGCTGTAGCCTATATTCAAATGTTGGCGATTCGAGCACTTGCCTGGTTCGCCAGCCCATAGTTGCCAAATCCAAAATCCCGCAATATGCCATCAGAACTCTTCATGTCATTTCTGCTGTATTCATCGATTTTATCATGCCGCTAAGCTTCTACTCTCCAGAACGACGTCACTTTGCTGGTGATATAGTGTATTTTTTCCTTTTTTGTTCTGCATACAAACTGTTAAGTTTTTTTTGTGCTGTCTTACCTTTTTTCCTCATTGATTCTATGTTTCAAGTGAAACAAAGTTTTTACTTTTTTATTTTCTCCTGTTATTTTGTTTTGTGCTGTATGAATGGATCGTTCGTTACATTTTTACCCGTCACTGACGTTAAGGTTTCTCTTCGTATGCTTGACTTTTATGTTGTTCGCATCTGGAATTAAATCCTACTGTTTATTATTGTAAGTAGATGTGATGAATTGTGAAAAAGCAAAAATTCATCGTCGTGTATTCCTTGTGCACCTGTTTTTTTTCCTTGGCTTACATGTAAATGACTTTTCTAACATTCGGTATTTGACGTTTTCGAAATAGTTGTGGGGCATTATAAATAGTTTTTTAACACTTGGATGGGTGTCGGAGGGACAATTTTTTTCTTTTCAAGAAAATTAATAACAATACGCAAATTGCTTGACGACATCCTGCTGATAAGTATTTAAAATCTGTTTATTTTAGTGCTTTGCTCGGCTGGGTTCTCAGAACCTTGTTGGAACAATGAACCTGTCAAAATGGATCTTTCTTTTCTTAATGGTATTAACCGAATATGTGCTTGGCGAGATGAAAGACCCGTACGCTACTCTGAATTTGCCTAGGAATGCTGGTGTTAAAGAGATCAAACGGAAGTATAAAAGTCTTGTTAAAGAATGGTTAGTTGGATTTGATTATTGTTCTTAGGTTAATTTTTTTTAGCTTTCTCTCATTCTTTCTTTGTGTGTGTTTTTCTGTAGATTTTCGCGGATTTGGGGTTTTAAAATATTAGTAGCATGTGTTTTTTATTTAAAACTCGTAAAAGTATTTCTGATTACCTTCGATTTATTAATTTTTATTCATTTATTTGTTTATTATTGTTATTATTATTGCTTTTTTTTTTTTTTTTTCTGTGGATGACCTGTCATTGGGGGGTCTGCTTTTGATTGTTAGATAAGTTGAAAGGAATGCCGTCGCTTATTCCGCCTTAAATGTGTTCTGGTGGTGAAGCTCTGAAGAGGTTGTAATATTTAAAATACCCTCGCCATTTTATGGAATTTTTTATTCTTGGATCTTCAGCTGTCTGGTCTTTATTTACAAATATTTCACGTATTTTTTTTAAAACATGTTTTCTGTTTCATATATCTCTGCTGTCAAAATTTTATAATTAGGGTTTAAGAAAATAAGAGGGAGTGCAAGTCGCATTTGTACTTACGTCATCGGAATTTTAATTTTTTTCTATTTTTTGGTTGCCTAGACTATTTAAAAACGAAATGGCTATAGATTTATGGCAGGCAAGCTGGTGCCGTAACTGTGAGGTATAGAATAGAAATGTTTTTTTTACTTTTTTTTTTCATTTGCACATGGGTTTTGCTATTGTTACAACTATTATTTTATTTGGCAAATCATTAAACTTGTCAGTTCATTCGTTTGAGGCCAAAAGTCATGGTGCAACTGTAATTCGTTATTTTTTATGAGAAGATTTGACGTTCACATATCGCTCTCCTTATTAAGTTTCGCTTGCAGATTTTGTAAATTAAAAAGCTTTGACCTGAGGTCTTTGAAAGTGAGGATAGAACTGGAGGGAAATTTAACAAAACAAGTTTTATCTAATACTGTAGAAACCACGAAGAAATTAAAGCATACTTTCAGGCTTGTTTGTAGGGCGTTTAATATAAAAACTTACTTCTTCTTCTTGAACAGCGTTCATTTGTAGCACAAAAACGGAAAGAAATTTTCATTTATTGTTTGGTTGTGTTTTCCAGGCATCCAGATAAAAATGACAGTCCGAAAGCTCATGAGAAGTTTATGGAGATACAGCAAGCATATGAGGTACTTTTTGTTAAAAAGTTTGTTTGGCTTTTTCTTTCGGTACATAATTATACTTTATTTACAAATTTTGGTTTTTTTTAAAGGTTTTAATGTATATTATCTTCTTTTAAACGAAAAATTTTTGCCATGTCCAAACACTTTCAGGAACTTGTCAATTTGGGATTATGACGTTAAGTTTTAACTCAGTAAAACATCTTTATTTTAATTATTTTGAATTTTGCTACTTTAATTGCCTTCTTCTTCTTGTGCTTTTGAGGAATACCTGAAGCTTATTGTTTGTCATTGAAAGATTTTCTGCGCTAAGAGACGCAAATAGTATTCTCATAAAGCTATTTTTTAATGCACAAAATATATTTTTTGTTAGATTCTTTCTGATCCGTACAAGAAGGAGCAGTATGACAAATCTGGTACCGTATCCGATCCTATTAACGAGGACGACAGTTTTCATAGCTTCCAAGATTTTGTATGTGTTTCTTAATCGACGTTATTGTTACCTAGTTTATTATACTGTTGTCCAATTGCTATTTAATATGATTTTCAGTTTGGCAGTCCATTCTTTTCAACGAACACATTTTTCTCTAAACATCGTATTACTATGCAAATTTTCCTGCATAGTTTGCAAGAGAAAAGCTTTTCGCAGCCCATTTTAATTTTTGCGTATTCGGGTTGGTGCAGTTTGTGCTTCCGTTTAGAGCCTATTTGGAAAAGTGCTGTTGAAGACTTGGAACCTTTAGGTTTATATTTCAGTATTTTTAGTTTATTTACGTTTTATTTTTATATGAGTACATTATGACTATATGATTTTGAGGTTATGCTATTGGCACAGTGAACGCAATGACAGATGCAAACTTATTGGAGAGAATGCGGGTGACACGGGTTCCATCAATTCTTGTATTTGTTGAAGGACGTGCTATACATTACAGAGATCCTTTGATTAGTATGCGCACTTTTATTGCACATTTGAGTGACTAACGTTTTTAGACAATTTACCTGTTAGCGTGTTTTCCATTCCAGCTTTAACAGCAAAGTCTCTTCGTATTTTTGCTCGTGATGTTCTTCCTAGCAGCTTTTTAACTCGTATCAGAGATCATAATGGACTAAAACGCTTTATAGATCAATGGGAAAGCACAAATAAAGCAAGTTGCTTTACGTAAATTTAGGAACTTTCAGTTGGTTAATAATTTAATCACATCTTGCTAATGGGAAGTTTTATTTAATTTTTTGAGTCCCTTTCTCTAGTACTTTTTTTTGTCTTTTACTAAATTCAAAGATGGACTACTTTTTCAGATCTCGGTGCTGATAGTGAGCAATAAAGAAGATCCACGAATGCGATATATGCTAGCTGCTATGAAATTTGCAAATTTTGCTCGTTTTGCTTACGTTTATTTAGATTTCACTAGTGAAACGATAAGAAAAATGCGTGAAGCTTTAGATATTGATTGTCGTGACTGTGAGAACGTGTTTATTTTCAACGATTTTCCAGAGGTATTTGGCTTTTTATTTACTGTAGGGTGTTTTTAATAATATAATTAGGTTTTGTGAATTCCATTATGATCTATCATATGCAATGTAGAAAGGGCCTGTTGCTCGTATTACTGCACTGAATGGAAAGCAAATATCTATGGAATCACTTTCATCGTTTATCGAAAACAATTTGCATCTTGTGCTGCCGAGAGTAAGTTTTGTTGTTGAAAAGAGTTGGCTATTGGATTGTTTTTTAATCCTTCCTCAGAAAAGTTGGTAATTTCATAGGTAATAGTATATAAGTGCAGCTGCTGAAGTTTCATTATTATATATTCAGTTATTTATTGTTCAGATGTTTTTTTATGCATTTTGGGATTTTTTTCTGATTAAACAATTAATAGTAATTATGGAAGTAGTTGTTTGTAATCTTAAGATAGTGGGATTCTTTACTGCTAGAGTTTGTAAGATTTGGAGGCAGTGTTTTATCTTTTCTCGTTAAAATGATTCTTATGCGGTTCGCATGATATTTTTTGTAGCTCGCATCACAGGCTCATCTTGATGACCTTTGTCCTATATCACCTCGAGGATCTCGCAAGTTATGTGCTATCTTGGCTGTAGATTCCAGCGATTTAAAACATATTTCTCTGTTGCGTAGCTTTGTGTCCAGTCAACAGTCTAATGTTAATGGTGCTAATGGGGAGCAGATTCGCTATACCTATATTTTCCTGGGCAAGCAGCGAGACTTTATTGAGCCGTTCTTGAAAGTATTAAAGAAAAAGGGCTTGAATTTTGAAACCGTGGGTATTTTGTTTGAAATTGCTTAGGGCACAAAATTTATAACTCTTGTGCTTTAAAATGCTATTTTTTTAGTTTTATTGATGCATGTTTTCTTTCATAGTTGTTGTTTCAGAAGGTACTATTTGTTTCTGTTTTTTATTACCATGGATGTTAGTACCTTCGTGTTTTAAAATGGTTATTGCAATTTTTAACTGTATTCTAGACTGGGGTAAAGCGAGATTTTATTGTTTTGTGGAGAATTGAATACGACCGGGCTCGCTTTGTTTGGTTGAGAGAAATATGGGATTCTAATGAATCGACTTTCATCGAAAGTTTTGTTTTTCTCAAACAGAAGATGGATGAGATTACGACTGGTACAGTAAAACTGGAGCTACAGACGGATCTTGTTAAAATTGTTAGTGGTGTTTCTTAAAATTCGCATCTTTAATCGCCCTGTTTTGTTTCTCATGGGAATGTACCTAAAGTGGCTACTGAAGAGTTTGATAGCTAGTTATTGTTTGTATTTATCTTTATTGTTTTTTGTGTTATTTTTGATATTTCTAATTTCGATTACTTC